GTGTGAGTGAGGAGTATGTGGATTTTATTTTGGATCTTAGGTTATAGGTACTTTATTCATAAGTAATACATTGTCCTATTTCAGGAGTAAACATCAAGCACACTCCTTATGGCCGGGTACAGCACTTGCTATTTGAGTCTTACAGTCAGCTGTTTTACACGATTAAGCCAGTCCTTCGTCCTCTAAGATTATCACAAAATACTCTTTTGTGTATTTATTGAAATATCCCAGGAAAGTACTGGTCCGCGGGCTGTTTGTGTCCCCTGGGATGACCTTGCGTGGCCCGCGGGTGACAAGAAGTATTAGCCTGTGAAATTATGATTGTCATGAAGGAAAATAATGTCATATACAATTTGTTACTGTTGGTATTACCATTTGAAATCTGAGAAGTAGAATAAACTTTGAGTATGTAATAGTAGTTTTAGTAACGTAATCCTTGGAAGCCAAGTATGAACGTTTATTGGCTCTCAAGATGGCAGCTGAAGGGAAAAATTGGCCCTCGAAGGGTTTTGAGGTTGCTTTCCCCTGTTTAGGGAATTTAGGCTTTGTGGATTAAAGTTCACATGCCCGACGTAACTAGATTGCACACGATGAAATAAATTAAGAGAATTTAATCATCAACTTGAGATCAGAATCTATAACAAGGGATCAACGTAACTCTCAGTTCGCGAATGAAAACGCGAATGCATTTGCAATCTATGTTTCTTGGCCTAAAAAGTCACAAATAATTCAGAGCCCATAAAAAAATAACAATACAAAAATATAGAACAATAAAATACTTTTAAAATACCTCTTTGTGTTTTCGTACACTTTTTCATTTTCTATTTGTTTCAATTTCCATTTCGTACATACGTGCAGTGCATCTTGCTCTTCTTTATGATTGAGCTTTTACCTCCCTGTAATGTTTCACAATAACCAAGCTTAGTAACTCCTTCATTCCATCTTGTAAGGAGATCCTGGTCTGCAATAGATTAATAATTACAATTCTCTCCATATATCTAATGCCGTCTATCCCACTTAATGGTAAAATATGTGAGCATCAAAAGAAAAAAAATAATTGAATATCTTTCATTATTTTGTCTACTCAAAGGAAAATATCCATTGTTTACTAAAGGTCAATTAATAACCCACAAAGGCAACACATATACATACACTATATATATATATATATAATATATATACATATATAAGTTTGGATACATATGTTTGTTTATACACACACATATATATATATTATTTATATATATGTGTGTATGTATGTATAACATATGTATATGTATACATTTACATGTATGGGCTCCTTCACACAGGTTTTAGAAAATATAAAAGGACCGTGTATATCTCAAAATACTTTATTTGAAAGAGAGCACATTAAGTAAAATAAAATAAAAATCCTTAGCGGTTAAAAGGGTGAATAACAAAACATACATGAGAAATACATAGGATGATGCCCATATCTACATGCGCATAAATATCTGTACAAAACCCAGCGGGCAAAAAGAGCGCACTGCCGCCCGCGTCAGGCGCGTCGGCCGTCGGGTCGGTCGAAGTGCGCAATGAGGCTGGACACGTCGGGTCGTCGGGCGTTGATGATGTCGACGATGTCGGGTCTGAGGGCCGCGCTCCCCACCAGGAAGCCGTCCAGGTCCTCCAGCTGAGCCAGCTCTCGACAGTTGCTCGACGAAACGGAACCTGCGTACAGGATTCTGGTGCTGTTGGCCACCTTGTCGCTGACGTTGGCGCGCAGCCAGTGTCGCAGCTTGGCCAAGGCCTCCTGTACCTGCGCAGCTGTGGCCAGGACGCCGGTATTGCTGGCCCACAGAGCCTCGAAGGCGATCACCACACGCGACCAGTCGCTGATGCTGGCGGCGAGGGACTTCATCTGGCCGAACAGGACGTCGTCCGTGCGACCCTCCTCGCGGTCCTCCGACGTCTCGCACAGACACGCGATTATCTGCAATTGCACATTAAGAAATTAAGAAATTCATGCATATTTAGAAAAGGAAATCTCCAATCTCTCATTCGAGTCCTTTTATAACATCCAATTAGAACGAGTAAAATGAGGAAGAGGCTGACCTTGATGCCAGTCTGCTGCGCGTGCGCGACCTTCTCGGCGATGAGTTGGTCTGACTCCTTGAAGATGGTCCTTCGCTCAGGGTGACCCAGGATGACCCACTCGCAGCCCGAGTCCAGGATCATGGCGGGAGAAATCTCGCCGCTGAAGTTACCGTGGGCAACCTGTTGTCAAGACACACTGGAGTTTAGTTTCGATTTTAGATGTTACCTAACAATGCATCTCACGGAATGCATTATAATACCAAATATTACCATCATGTTGACGGGTACTCCATCTTACCTTGTAACAGTTCTGAGCGGCGACAGCGATCTCGTCAGGGAGTCTCTGGCGGGCGTAGGACAGGTAGCAGGAAGGGCAGCCAACCACGGCCTCTGTTTGGGACAAGGAAATTTTTAGAAATTACGTTTACCAATTCTATATGTTGCATAACAAAGAGGGAATTACCAGCTGGATGGTAGTTTTGATAAGAGACAAACGAAACTGACCTGTGTTGGGGTCCAACGAGGCCGCCGACATGAACTTGGCAATGTGGTCGATCCGGGCTTTGTCCACGTTCATCTTCCAGTTCCCGATCACGAAGAACTTCCTTTGGCCCGACATTTTCTCCTTTTCTCTATTCTTTTTTACGACTTAAACACCGTAGTCTTCTTTGGCTCTTGTCCTCAGCAGTGACAAGCAACTTCTGACGATCTCAACGACAACGACTCATTTTATACGATTTTTCACCGGAAGCAGATCTCGGAGGAACCTTTCGTATGACGTCACTCCTCGCCTTTCCTCCGCTGGCGGAATCGCTCCGCCTCCGAAAGATGAAATTATGTCGTTTGCTCCTCAATAACGTTATTCGTTCATAAAGGTATGAAATATATAGGGCCACTCCCACGCATTTCATTCCTGTAACACTATAAAGAATGAGGAATTCAAAGTAAGAAAGACAAATGGGAGAGTCGAATACTTTTTCTCTCATAGATCAGGCGTGCAGGGGCGTCTTCAGGGGCGGGTCTTGAGACTGGTGTTTTGAGACCGAAGATCGGGTCTTCCGCCATGATGAGCATTCTTTATTTGTTAGATACATGCATCCAAAGACAAGCTTTTTCAATATTAGGCAGGGATCAGTATAAACACAGAGACACGCACACACATATATACACATATATATATACATATGTATGTATGTATATTAGAATATATTTATGTGTGTATGTGTATATACACCTATTCATTTATAGATGACTATGCACCATGACTGCATCTTTACACGATTTCGTACCATGAGGTCTGTGCTAATACCCAGAAAAGGATAGGTTGATGAAGACTTTTGTTTTATTAAGAATTTTAACGATACCTTTGTTGTCAAGTTCGGTGTCTGTGAGTCACGTTTTGGGGATTCAAAGATTCCAAAGACGTGAAAGGCAAAACATAATTATCCTCTTTTAAGGTTTCTTTGTTTTTGAAATGGGTTAGAGATAAACAGAGAGAGAGAGGATAAAAGCGAAAGGGAGAAACAGAATGAGAGAAAGAGTGAGCGAATGGCAGAGAGAAAGAGAGAGAGAGGATGAGAAAAATACGAGCATGGATTCGAAGAAGTAAAATACCAACCAACCAAATAGACTAACCTTTCCCAACGAGGCGCGAGCAAAGCCCAGGGCACCGGAAGCTCCAAGAACGTTTGTTTGCTTTTTTGACCAAGTATAAAACTCGCGTCGCCCAGGCAGCGGCTGATAGTCTTCGCCTCAGGGGCCAGCGAGAACGTTTCCCGATGACTCTCCGTCGAGCAACCGAGATGTCGGGTCCGAGGAAGTTCCTGGTCGTGGGCAGCTGGACGCCACAAGCGGACTCGAGCGCAGGTCAGAAAGGCAGATCATGCCTCTGTGTTTTGAAGATGCGTGTTCATAATTTTCAAAAACAAAATTAGACATGATCATTATATCTTTTAAACTGCTGAATGATCAATCGGTTAATGATAACCAAGGCTTTTTGGCTAAAAGCCGTCTTTCGATGAACGAAACTGAGAAATGTTTCTTCCACAGAAAACACGAGAGACAGTTTCTCTTCGTTCCTGTCGTACGCTCGACAGAATCTCCCTGTCGAAATCGGCACGACTGTTCCTGACGGTCATCAGGAGGAGGAAGCCTTCTGCAGGGACTGCCACTGCCACTGGGAAGTGGTGGGCGGGACTTTGTCGGGCAGTTCTGATTCTCAGCTGAAGGAAGCCATTGTCGACGCTCAGCAGGCGGGCAGAAAGGTGAGATTACATTAATCATTCTGAAGTTCTACTATAATCACATTCCAACTGAGGTATATACTTAATGCATTTGTCGCAATGGATAAGTTTGTTCGTAGTCTAGGAGTATCAAAAGACAGAAAAATATGTATTTGATTGTTATCTGTGTATACATGATCTGATTTGCATTGTTGACTTGCACAGGTGATCGTCCGTCTGTGCGAGACGTCGGAGGACCGCGAGGAGGGTCGCACGGACGACGTCCTGTTCGGCCAGATGAAGTCCCTCGCCGCCAGCATCAGCGACTGGTCGCGTGTGGTGATCGCCTTCGAGGCTCTGTGGGCCAGCAATACCGGCGTCCTGGCCACAGCTGCGCAGGTACAGGAGGCCTTGGCCAAGCTGCGACACTGGCTGCGCGCCAACGTGAGCGACAAGGTGGCCAACAGCACCAGAATCCTGTACGCAGGTTCCGTTTCGTCGAGCAACTGTCGAGAGCTGGCTCAGCTGGAGGACCTGGACGGCTTCCTGGTGGGGAGCGCGGCCCTCAGCCCCGACGTCGTTCCCGCGATCACTTCGTCGCGAGAGTCTCGCTCGTCCCTGTGGGCGACGCACGAGGCCCTCAGGTCGACCGCTCAGCTGATCCAGCAGCTTCGTCAGCGGGAATGCGCGAGGAGATTGGAGGCGATGACGCGCAGTCCGAAACGATACATCTGAAAGCTTTTCACAGCTGCTTTGGGCAGGATCCAATGCTAAAGATTTAGGTGTAAATAGGTCTATGTATTTTTAAGTTCTTGGTTTGTCAATGCAATGACAAT